GTTGTCAGTTGGTTTAGTTTGACAGTAAATAACTCCCTCCTATGAATGAATGTCATTTGAAAACAACAACAAGTGAACACACTCCTCAGGTCATTGTACAGAATCCACAATATTCTGTATAAATCTTCAGTCTTTAACTCATCTTTCACACAGTCTGATTTCAGTGATCGAAACCTATGAGTAAACTACTGTAATACATTCTAACAGGTAATAATGTAGGAATGATGAGCTGACACATTCATCACCACTGTATATAAATGTTTGTTGTAAAACACATAATACTGCAGTACAACAAGGTATTTTTTCTCTTATTCCTACTCATATGTCCTGAGAGTAACAGATAGAAGTGTTAGATCATGGAAACGAGGATATTTAACACTGTCAACAATAATCTTTAAACTCTAAGGTGAAAGGACGAAGCAGAACAAAATAATCAGTTACAGTGACGTCACGTTGTCTGTTTGATTAAACACTCATTCAAACTGCTAACACCAGGTAATACCCCCTCAGCACCAGGAGGAGGAGCCAATGTAAATACCTTCACTCTCCATCTCTTTATACCTCACTGTAAAGTGGAGACACGACCAAAGGAAAGCAGACATCAGACGAATGTCCATCATGACACTGACTACCAGTCTAACATGTTTGCTGCTGTCAACCATTTCAGGTCAACACCACACTCCTGCCCCCCACGGGCCACAAAAAATGGCGTGGCGGGCCGCATTTGGCCCCCGGGCCTTGAGTTTGACACGTATGCTCTAAGGTGAAAGGACGAAGCAGAACAAAATAATCAGTTACAGTGACGTCACGTTGTCTGTTTGATTAAACACTCATTCAAACTGCTAACACCAGGTAATACCCCCTCAGCACCAGGAGGAGGAGCCAATGTAAATACCTTCACTCTCCATCTCTTTATACCTCACTGTAAAGTGGAGACACGACCAAAGGAAAGCAGACATCAGACGAATGTCCATCATGACACTGACTACCAGTCTAACATGTTTGCTGCTGTCAACCATTTCAGGTCAACACCACACTCCTGCACTTTTCACATTT